TCTGAGCCGCGGCGAGGAGGACGTGCGGGAAGAGCGCGCAAGATGCCGGTGCGGGGAGACCGCGGGTTTCCGCCGCGGCGGGAGCTGTCGGGCTGGCTGCGCGTAAGTTTCCTCCCGGACCTGGCGGCGAGCGGCTGCGTGGGAGCGGGTGGGCTCCGCGTGGCTCCCCTCTGTGCCCGGGTTTGGTCTCTCTGGGCTGTAGGGTCCTCCTCGGGGGACCCGGGCGCAAGAAAGGCGAGGATTGCTAGCACGGCGCTGATGGCTTGTGGCCTCTCTGAATCACTTGGCTTTGAGATGAAATCGCCAGTAGGGGAAAGTGTGGAGCCCAGTGCCCTGGTGTCGGTCCCCAAGACTTTCTGTGCCTGTGGTCGCCGACTGGACGCCTGAGTGTGCCCTCTTTCTAACTTAATGTTATGGTTCTAGCCACGGACTGAGAGAAACCGAGGACTCTTGGGTACCCAAATCCTCACTTTCCTTTTTAGTCAGCTGCCTCTGCAGTACAACTTCTTTTGCAGTAGGGAATGGAGATGGGTTTTCTGAAGAAACCCCAGAAAGAAATGATGAATGGTTTGTATTGTGGGAGTATCTTACCTGTCATCAGTACCTTTTATTTTATGTCTCCATTTGTCAGGTTTCCGCTTTTACACGGTAGTTTATTTTAAGGTATAAATAATCAGGGATTTCGACCTCAGGCTTTTTCACATTCTTGAAATGTGAAGAACTTGGGAGGGAACCTGCCAGGACTCAGTAATGGAATACAGCCTTCCCTTCTGTTTTAGCTTTAGTTCTCAGGCTGAGTTGCTTTTCTGGCGACTGTCTGACCTGAGTAATAATGGTTGTGGCTTTCCTGAGGTTCCCAGGGAAGAGTCATCCCCTCCCAGAAACTGCCCTGCACTGTACACTCCCTGACTTCACTGCTGAATCCTAGGAGAGAGGGAGAGACCTCCTCACAGCTTACTAGGTGGTCTGTTGGCTGTGCCCACAACCCCTTACAAAAAACAGGTCTATCTATCCTCCCAGGAGAGTTGCCCTGCCAGGCTCACCTGGGAAGAAAGTAGTTTTAGCTGAGAAATTAGTAAGTAGTAATTGCATTTGAGGACAAGTGCCCCATAATTTCCATTTTCTTGAATAATATTGCTTTGATGTGGGGAATGCACATCTCCAGTTTTGTTAGGGAAACGAGCAAGGAGTAAAGAGACCAATAGTGCTATTTAGAAGTATGGACAGGGTGCTGTTATAGCAGATGAGAGGAAGGGAGGGAGCGTTAGCCAAGGTAACTGGCTTTGAGTTTTGTCCCCTGCCCTCTCATAGCTTCTTGGAAAGATTGATAAAAGGGAGAGTTTTTTCCTTTTCACATTCTCCTACAACTGTGTGTGTGTGTGTGTGTGTGTGTGTGTGTGTGTGTGTGTGTGTGTGTTTCTCTCCCGTGTCTCTCCTGTGGGTGTGTGGTGCTGGAGACTGAATTCAGGACCTCAAGCATATTTTGGAGTGGTATCTCCAGTGGCAGCTTTTTAGTACCACCAAGCTAACATTTGATGAGCGCCTAGTTGGTGCCAGTCACTTGGAAGAGCTACAGAATTGACTGAGACTGGATTTCTGCTTGTAGGAGTTTAGTGACACCAGCATGGTAGACTGCTTTAGATGGATCTGGCTTTACAGGATTCCTGGTACCGAAGGAGGGAATGTTTAATATAGATGCACACTCTGTAACAAAGAGTGAGATTGTCCTCTCTGCCTGCATTCCTTTCGGGAATTCTTTCAGGAAGGAAAGAACACATGAACAGATACTTCCTGATGTCAGCCACTGTAGGGAATTGCTGGGAATGCATCCACCTCACAGTACACTGGCATAGATTGGGTAGCTAGGTATATAGTGGTCATTGGTCCCAAAATTTAAGTGTGGGGTTTTCAATGAAGGATTTGGGTTGATACAGGAGTTGAAGTCTAGAAGTGTAGGTAGGAGGTGCCAGATAGTTGCCAATGAAAAATCTGAGACATAGAAAGTGTTGTACAAATCTCTTTGGAGGGGAGACCTTGAATGTCAGTAACAGAACTTTGGGAGTGGGAATCACAGAAACTCCTAATGTACTAGTAGTGGTCCGATTCTCCTAAGAGGCCTGAGAGCTGTTCTCCTAGCAAACACTCCTCTCTACTCCCTATATAGTAAAAGGTACTATTTATGAAGCTTGCTTAGGAACACGACCAGATTCATCTCATTGCCCTCGGGGGAATTCATTTGCAGTGACTTATGCCTACATTTACTTAACCCTTGATCTAGTTCCTTGCACATTGACAGCAGATCATGGCTAACCAGATATCTAGGTGCGGAGTGAGCACTCTGACAAAATACATATAAGTGCTTGGGAGATGGCAAGATTTCCACCATTTTCTTTTCACAAGGTTCTCTCTCCTTAAAAGGTTGTCTTTGAAGGAGACAGATCCTTGAAGTAGGGGGTGGGGGTCACTTTAGGTCATTGTAGCTTTGTGTACAATATAAGTTGTTTAAGAAGACTTTCCGAGGGCTGAAAATAAAATAAGGGGCCCAGAGGTTAAGAGCATTGACTGCTCTTCCAGAGGTCCTGAGTTCAATTCCCAGCAACCACATGGTGGCTCACAGCCTTTTATATTGAGATCTGGTGCCCTCTTCTGGTGTGCAGATATACATGGAGAATACTGTATTCTTAATAAATAAATACAATCCTTGGGGGAAAAAAAGGCATTCCACTTTGGTTGGGCAGTGGCTTGAAGTGTGGGTGCATAGGGCAGCTATGGAATTGGGAAGGACTAATAACCACTCAACCTTTCAACATCTCCCAAGAGTATTAGCCATTAGGGAATTCCTTGCCTAAACCCTAAAACAAATCCCATTAAGCAGCCTGGCCATATTAAAGAGTTCTCTCAATGGAGAGCTGCCTCCCAATAAAATTCCCCATTGATTATACCCTAAGCAACAACCAAGGATGCAAAGACGACTTCTGGTCACAGTAACCTTGGGCCAGAAGTTTTGATGTTGAGAGGTAGAGGTGCTTTTTGATAGGGTGCTGTCTTGTGCCTGGTTTCCCCAGTCTTGGGTGGAGGGAAGCAGAATTAGCATGTTAGCTGGGCCAGGACCATAGATTTAGAGGCCCAGCTTCAACACCATTTTGGTGACTTAAGCATATCAAAGTTCACACAACTTGATTAAGAAATAGAAAACCATTTAGTGTCCATTTAACCCACACAGGGAATTTTGTGATGCCTGCTCCTGCCTTGTTAGTGAGAGCCCACACACCTGTGGCCTTTGTGTAATGCAGTGGAAATCGATGAAGTACAGATTCCTCGATGGCCGTGATTGTGACAGCCAGTGCTGACTTGGGATGGTACCAGGGAAAGCAGTCAGAAAGCTTGCAGAGTTTGGGGTAACGCAGAACTGTGGGTTGGAATTCTGAGGTCTTTTCCCCCCACTTGATTTAAACAGGTGCTTCTTAGAATTTAAATCTAACTTCCGGAGGTCAGCATGTACTTGGGCAGTGGTGTTGCTGATCTGAGGAGGGAATTTAGGCTAGGGCCTTGCATGAGCTGGGCAAGTACTCCAATACTGAGCTGTATCCTCAGGCCTCTATCCTGGTTTTGTTTTTGTTTTATGACTGGTGCCTGTTATCATGGCCACTATCTCCAAGCTTCTCCAAAGTCATTTACCTGTGAGCTCAGAAAAAAACACTAAAGACTTTGACACTCCTAAATATGTAGCAATTTGAGTTTTTTTTTTTTTTTTTCTTTCTAGAGTATCTACCCTGTTGTGGTGCATACAAACTTGAAGGAGAAAAATTATTTATTTAGTTACTTATTCTAGCATTCTGGAGGCAGAAGCAGGCAGATCTCTCTAAGTTCTAAGCTAGCCAGGGCAATTTAATAAGACCCTGTCTCATAATGTGTCACCACCACCACCAAAACCATCCCAATAATTCTCTTCCACAGGGATTAAATTCTTTATTACTTTGTTGAAAAGGACATACTTTGTTTTTCTGTTTTTCTACATTAATGTCATTTGAGGGATTAAAAAAACAAAGCCAGCCACCAGTCCCTCTTATTTCAAGATTAGATAGTGAAAAGTTTCTGCACCCCGATAAGCCTCTCTGTTGACACAGCAATCCAAATCAGACCAAATCTTTGGGTATATGGATGCCAGGGGGTGGGGTGAAGCTTCCACCATAATAGATAGCTTACTTAGGAGGAAGCAGAAAATAATGGTCAAGTAGAACTGAGTGTATTAAGATGTGTAAACTTACCATGACGAGTAGTATTATAATGTAAGAACTGCGAGTGTGGTGGTTCCTTTTGATATCTGAGACTTGGGCAGAACTATATAAAACATGTGTGACTTGGTTCTGGAGAACTCTGAGTGTAGCCCCACCACGCCTTCAGGAGCCAAACACACAGAATTGTCCTGGGATGCCGGGGGCGTTGAACACCATCCACTCTGTCTTTATCATGTGTATATCCCCCGATTTCTGCTCAGTTCCTTTCTTTGTGTTTGCCCGGGGTGTGTTTATGAAACTCTTAACATCTGGCCTGATTTTCGATTTTCGTTCCTCTGTCTGCTTTCTACAAGTAGGTGTCGCATCACCAGATGTTGGCTCGCCAAATGTTGTTCATTCTTTTGTGATAAAGTGGAGTGACAGTGAGGAAATACTTTGGCTCTTCTGGGGAACATCACTTTGTTTTTAAGTGGCTTGAGGAATGCAGATCCATCACCAAACGATTGACACGTAAATGGTTTTAACGGCTCAGTGTCTTTCCAAAGTGTGGTGGATGGAGGAGTT